CCCATGGTCCCTGGGCATCCCATTCAGTACACCCAGGATTCTCATGGGCATGTCACTGACCTCCCCGCTGTGTCCAGTCCTCATACCAAGGCACATGTGCCTGCCACTGTTGCTGTCCCTTCCCAGCAGCCCCTGTGGTCAGACAAAGCAGGACTAAGGAGTGGAGGCAACACCCTCAGATAACAGACAGACAGACAGACTCGGGGACCATGCCCAAGCCGCTGCCCAGAAGGCTAGATCAGGAAAGGGGAGGGGAGCCAGTGAAGGCAGACCCTATCCCTCTTAAGTCAACCCTGGAGGGAAAAGTGTGGCTATGAGCAGACTGTGAATGCCATCCAGCCAAGCAGGGAAGGTTGGAGGTGACATGAATGTCACAATGGGAAGCATCATTGAAGCAGGTGAGTCCCAGCCCCGTGCCCCACCTTTTTCATGGAATGGAAGGGATACAGGAGGAAGGGGCGGCCTTCTACAGCACGTTTCTCTCACCCATCCTGGACCCAGGAAGGATAAAAGGGAGAAGATGATGGGCGGGGATGGGAGGGGCGCAGAGATCTGACTCTTACAAATTACAATCTCAGACACTGCCCTCGGACCCACAGTGGATTTGTGTCTCCCTCCATCATCCTCGGAACTTTTTGCGGAGAGAGGAGTGAGGGACCGGCATAGCCTTCTGATACCTCCCTGCACCTGCCTGTCCCACTTAACACAGGCCATCTGCCCACAACTCAGTAGCTACCACACTGCCCTAGGACACGTAGGGGACTGTCCTCGGCTTCCTAGGCTTACCATGAAGAAGCAAGCATGCCATACTCCTGGGTAATGATCGATGGAGTGCAGGCTACTGCCCTGATGAGGGTCCCCAGCGACTAAGTCAATCCCTTCCCTATAGTCTGACCCTTCCCCCCTGGTATGGATGGAAGTCGGGGGGACCTAGGGACCACTAGAGGGGCTTGGGCTCTGACAGAGGCACACTCTGGCCTGACTCTATTCCAGGCGGCTTAGCTGAGTCTGTCCGAGTTACATAACCAAACTCCCCACTAACACTCCACGAGTTGCCAGCCCCCTTGAATTCCTGGACGGGGTCTCAGAGGAGGAACAAGCTTGGTTTGCACTCAGCTGCTCTAGACCCACAAGCCCCCAGCCTGTCTCCCCCTCTCGGTCTGCCAGGCAGGAGGCAAGCAAAACCTTCTCCAGCCAGACTTCAAACGCAGGAATCTAGATCAGGGATATATTTGGCTTTCTTAGCTAATCTTTACATCAATTTGGTCTCTACTGACTTGTAACCCTTTGAAGCAAACCTAGCAACGGTGTATCAAAACCACGTGACTCCCACGTAGCCCCCTGGAGAAAAGCCTCAGGCTCAGGAGACCCACAGCTCGGGGTTCCAAATCCATAGGCTCTGTAAGAACCCCAGCTTCCGAGGCATGCTCTGGGCGTGCGTGTTTTTCCCCTACGAATGCTCAGCCAACGTTTGACAAATGCCCTGCCAGAGATGAGACTGAGGCTTCGAGGCTAGGTGGGAGGCAGTTAGACCCCAAGTGATCCCAGCTGGAAGGGCGTAGGCACACAGAGGGGTAAGCAAGCTGTCCCGTCTCCCCGGGGACCAGAGGCACACATCTCAGAGGTGTTGAGCTGCTTGTGGGCCCTGTGCCCTGCCCTTTTCCTCAAGGCACAGAAGAGAAGGAACGGGGAAGCCGAGGGGGATAAATAAATGAATGGAGATGACAGAGAAGGGGGTGTCTACTACCAGCTCCTCCACTTGGCCCAAGGATGAGAGAGAGGGGTGCTGTGTGCTGATGTTGCTGGAAGCTCTCCGTTCCCTCCCAAATTTACCACTTCTTCCAGCGTTATTATCCAGATGCGTATCATGGCCTCTGACCCGAGATGGATCCCAGTGGCAATCAATTTAGTAGCAGCAGCTGGAAATGAGAGTGAGCCAGCATTCACCCTGTGCCCAGTGTTTGCGGACAAAGCATTGACTCCATCCACTAAAGCCTGGCTGCACAGCCCCAGCTGCTGGGGGACTTTGTGCTGGAGCTGGTGACAGCCAGCCCTGTGGATCCCTGCCGGGAAGCCCAGACACAACATAGCACACACTGGGAGGGTTTGAGGAAACTGTGAATTGTATCCTGAACATGTACCCGGGGCCTTCCTAGCAGAAGGAATGCCGAAAGCTCGGGGTTGGAAGACAGGACTGACTCTGAGGAACATGTTCAGGGTTGAGTCTATGGCTGGCTGTCTGCTCCTGAACACAACAACCCGGCAGACGTTATGGGTGCTCGCTCCCAGCTACTCCACACAACCCCATGAGGCCAGTCTCCTCACAACCCCATGAGGCCAGTCTCCTCACAACCCCATGAGGCCAGTCTCCTCACAACCCCATGAGGCCAGTCTCCTCACAACCCCATGAGGCCAGTCTCCTCACAACCCCATGAGGCCAGTCTCCTCAGGCCACAGATTCAGATGCAACCAGCCACCTGGGAGAGAACTTGGGCTGCTTACTGAGTAAGCACACTCTCTGAGATGCTCAGGGACCGGGCAGCCCAGCAAGCCCCAAGTCTCCTTCAAGGACTGCCTCTCTCAGGACCCAAGGAAATCCCGCTACAACTCCCACCAACAAGTACATTAAAAAAAAAAAGACATACACTCAGAAAAATCCAACTCCATCTGCTTCTGCCTCCTAAGGCATCAAGGCTCCGCGTACAGTTTGGCTTCATTGCAGAAGTAACCAACCCTGACTCTGGGTGGGAGCTAGGAAGGCCCTCCCTCGGTTTGCAGGGAGCCACCTTTCCCCAGGCAGAATCAATGCTGCCTTCTGCCACCTCAGCCTAACCAGGCTCCAAGCTCGGCAGCAAGATGTCCAGTGCTCACCCAGGAGCAGCTGGAACAGTTAGCAAGAGATGATGAAGGGCTGGGAAGCAAAAGTGCTGCTCTTGGGCTCAGGCTCCGGGTCCCCTGCCCAGAGGGAAACGAAATCACCTAGAGCCCCTGCCTCCAACACTCAGCTAGCTCTCCTTCTGGCAGCCCCCCTCTTCTTTGGGGGGGTTGCACACGAAGAAAACCTTGCATGCTTTATCTGGTAGGGAGGGACCCTTAAAGGTCAAACTCCAAAGTCATCAACAGAAGCATTTCTGAAAGCCTGGCATGATGGCTGTTGTCCTATGGTAACTGTTTAAGTGAATTTCGAGCCCCCCGAGGGAGGTTTCTTTGCTGGCGGTGGTGTTTTGTTTTGTTTTGTTTTGTTGTTTTGTTTTTCTTCTCTCCCTCTTAACAAAATGCACTAACCTATCACTCTATCAACTTGTGCAGGTAAAGCCACCACCAGCAAGCAAGTGACAGACTGCTGTTCCCGAAGCAGCTGGGAGCTCAAACTGCCTCTGAGCAGGGAGACACTCCGCTGGGTTGCTCTGGAAGCCCCTGGGATGTAGCTGAGCACCGAGACAGTCCAGACCAGAAGGGTGGTCTGGCAGGCAGGCAGGCAGACAGACAGATGGATGGACGGATGGACGGACAGACGGACAGAGGGGCACCCAGCTCAGGGTCATGCCAGAAGAGCTGTTCTTGTTTTCTTTGGTCCACACCCCAGAACTGCAGGAACCAAAACCTTATCTCACCACAGTCCACTGATGGACTGAGACCCAGCCAGAGTGCCCCCACACTCAGCCGCTCAGCCTGATGGTTAACCTCTTAAAGCCCAAGGCACCAACAAACTCAGCCACCAGGAGAAGGGATGCCAGTAATGACGTGAGGCAGTCCTCACTAGATGATGCCGACCAGCATCTATTCCTAGGCACCAAGTCCACTCGTAAATCAAGGACAGCTAGAACACACTCTCGCATGCCAGTCTCCTTCAGACTTCTCGAAATCAGGTCGCACACATGTTCCTCCCTCCTTTGGCCCCACTTTCTCCCCAGCTTCATGCTGGTGGGGGTTGCTGAGGCAGCCTGCTCCAGCAGCCACCGACCCCTTGTGTCCTCAACACGGGAGCGCAGTGCATCCCAGTGGACAAACACTAGAAGCGCAGGTAGCCTTTCTCTTGCTTCTGTCTGCGTTGTCTCAGCCTAAGTCCCACCCCCGACCCAGACGCACCAGCTCTGGCCAAAGACCCCTCACATGAGGGCAAGGGTAGCAGGCACTCGGCACTGCAAAAGGAGAAACTGCATCTTGGGGACCCCTTGGCCGCCCAGGACAGGATCCAGAGAAGCCAGAGCTACTCAGTGGGTGGGCAAAGTTTGAAGAGAAGGGTCTTTCTGGCCGGCCCCATAACCGCTCTGGGCTTGAGTTCCTGCTAGCCCTAACGTCCCAGACACAGACAAGCCCTGTGTGCCTGTGTGCCTGTGTGTCTGTGAAAGGCGTTTGGAGGGGTTCGCCTGTTATCGCTCCCCAGAATCCAAGCTCTCCAGACCCAGCTGTCCGCCAGCTGCGTGCGACCTTCTGCCCGGAGGTCACCCCCAAAGCAGCTGGATCAGCAGCTGGGCTCCTATTACACTCCTGTTCAGGCCCCCAGGGTCCTGAGGAACAGACAGAAGGGCTGACAGAGCAGCTGTGGGGTTCTGGGCTCCGACAACTCCGTGGCAAGGCTGGCTCGGGAACTGGGAGGGTTGATGGCTCTCCCAGGCGGCTCCAGCGTCAGCCCGGGCCCCCTAGTCCGCCGCGCCCAATGGCCCGCAACTCGTGCCGGGCTCCCGAGAGGAGGCGCGCCGGGGCCACGGGCCAGGACACTGCGCTGCTGCTGGCTTCCAGAGCCGCGGGCGCGCCTAGCTTCCAGGTCACTGGGGCAAGCGACCCCAGACTCGCGGAGCTCCCTGCCGGAACCAGCTGCAGGCGGCAGCGCTGCACGGCTTCGGGTGCACCACGCGGGCCGCCTCAGGAAGGCGAGAAGCGATGCCTTCGTTTGCAACAGTGAGCAGCAGCCCAGCCCAGCTCAGCACCCACGCACCCCCACGCACCCTGCCTTCTGGTGGGTCGCTCACCTGAGTCCTAAAAGCTGTTGGATCCACATGGTCACGTTTCGGGGAGCCGAGCCTCAGACCTTGCTTGCCCCGGCCATCTGCGCGGCACCCGCGCCCGCTCGCTCCCGTCCCGTGGCGCCGCTCTCCGGCTTCGGGCCGCCGCCGCCCGCCGCCCGCCGGCCGCGGGGCGCACAGCGAGTCAGAGCGCGGCCGCGCGGGGCTCCATGCCGGCCGGCGCGCCGCCGCCTAGGGGGAGCATGGCTCAGGCGGGCCGGCCCGCGGGGGCGCACATTTTCCCGCCGGGGGTCGGGGCTCAGGGCCCCCTCCGCAGGTCACACGGGGCTGCCAGCGGCGAGGTGGGCGCTCTCCGGAGCTGTCACCGGCCGTGAGGGTCCGAGGAGCGCGACTTCGTCCTCCGGGGCGACGGGCAGAGAAGCCGGATACGCGGCGCACCGAGCAAAGACCTTCGAGGCTGTGATCGGCTTAGCCGGGGGCTTCAGAGGATCGCCCCTCTGGCCCACGCGGGTCGCCTTCACGCACCGCCGGATCGGGAGGGTTCCGTCCCGGGTTCTGCCACGGATCAAGTTGCCGGAGAGCTCCGTCTGAGCGCTCGCTCTGCAGACGGCCGCGGCCGGGAGGCTGGCAGGAGGCGGGCAGGGGAGGCGCGGGGCGAGGGCGCGTGGAGCGCGGGGCGTGGGGACGCGCGGCGGCGGCGCCGCGCGGAGGAGGCGCGCGGGGATCCCGGGCCCCGCCGCCCGCGCCCACCGCGCCCTCCGCAGAGCCGCCCGCGCCGCTTGGCCGCCTCCCTCTGCGCGTCTGCCTCCGGGCGCTTGCCCCCGCCTCCGCGAGCGGGTCCCAACTCCTCCCGCCTGGCCCAGCTCACGTCACCCTCCTTCCCCGCCCCTCAACCTGGAATTGGAGCCCCTAACCGGGTCGGCCGGCTAGGTTCGCCAGCCCACCTCGCTGGAGCTGGACTGGCGACCTGGGCTCTGAGTGGCCTGGGCGGCGCCGGTGACAGGATTCTGGCCCGCCCCTTCCCCATCCCTAGCTGCGTCCCGGTCTCCACCTTGGGAAGGCTCGAAAGAGGCCGCAGGCTCCGATTGGACCGCCGGGCGCCGCCGGATGGTGTTGCCACGGTAACCGAACGGCATGCGAAGCAGTTAAGAGGTTCGGACCCGGTTCTAAGTACGCCCAGTGGACGCGGAGGGCTGATTTGGGGAGGGGACGTTCTCTTGGGGCTCAGGGAGCTAGGGCTGCACGAAAAGTTTCCTCCCGCGGAGCTACAAGGCGCTGGTGACGCGAGAGGCTGTAGGAGGCTGCGGAGGGTCCTCTGCTGGGGAGTCCTCCCCACTGCCTGGGCCTGGCCTCCGTCCAGACAGATGAAGTTTCAGCGTTCGGTTAGAGCGTGTTTCTGCCCGGTTATTTAGTCTCCAGCCCAGTGTCCTTCTCCCTCCTAGTTTTATGGCAACTGCAGCCTTTTCGGAGCCAGAGAGTTAGGAACCTGGGTTTCCCAGACTCTCAGAAATCTCGTCCACTCACCGACCCAGCACTTGGGTGCCCTACCTGGTTAGTTGTATCTGCATGGCCGATTAGTGAAAGACAGGAACGCTGGGGTCCCCTTTCTCTGATAGAAGTGACACAGAGGCAGAGACTTCCATGGAGGGCAGAGCTGCTGGGTCCCTGAGGAACTGTTAGGGGCAAAACCCAACTCAGAACTCCACACAGGGGCAGGGGTGGAGAAGTGCAAAGTCGAGGCCTTAGAAATTAGCTGCAGCCAGCGGCCTTCCTGCGTGAACACGAGAGCCAAAACTAGGAGGGCAAAGAGAGGCTAGCCCGGACTTCACAGAGTGCTGTTTTCGGTGGCTTCAGCTCAGCAGTTGACCCCCTGGGAGAGGATGAGGCCTCCCTAGGAGGGTTCCTGGTGGAGGAGGAGGAGCCAGCAATGAGCTCCAGGCAGGCCCTTCCCCCAACCTCCAGCCCAAGGTTTTTGGCAGCCCAAGATCTCCACCCCCACCCCCACCCCACCAAGCTGGACAGGACAGGGGTAGTTGTTTTCCTGCCAGAGACCTAAAGAAAGAACCTGGACATGGGTATGGGGTGCCACTGTCTTGGGGTCCTGGGTGTATTATGCAACCTCTGGGACTCTCGGACATCTCCTCTACAAGACCGGCTTCCTGTGGCTTCCCTCTGGAGGTTTTAATTAGAACTAAATGAGTTGGCCGGCCACACGTGCAACTGTTACTAGCTCTGTGCCAGTCTGTGGTCCAGAGACATCCAGGTGACTCAGCACTTCAATCGTCTGGCGCTTCTGGGTCATTTTCCCTCGGAGCCCTGGTCCTGAAGGGTTGCGGGGAGATGATCTTACAAAGCCAGGAGGCAGGGAGGTCCTAGCAGAACAAGCCAGACCCAGTCACCAACCGGGAAGGAGATGCCAGCACTGCTGCCACCTAGCGGGAAAATCTGGAGCGCTGCAAGGGAGGACCTTCCAGCAGCCTGAGGAGTCCTTCCGGTGGCATCTTAACAGCCTGGGCAGCCAGGTGGCTGGGTGGGGGGGGGGGGTGGAGTTCTGACCTAGTTTCTTCTCCAGACCCTCCCCAGCCTTACAAGATCCACTGCCCTCTTAGAATGTGGTACGTGCGCATCCCCATTAGCATATGATGTTACCGAAATGTATTCTTAATGATTAATGAGTCAGGGTTGGAAATGCAGCTAGATGGGGAGCCTGTGCTTAGCCTGGGTGAGACCCCAGGTTCAGTCCCCAGCATTTGCACAGAAACAGATTAGTGAACCCAGTGTGGGACTTAAAAGTGTGCGTTCTTGCTGACACATTAAATAAGCAGCTAGCAAATGCCAATGAAGCTGACAGCCAGACGCACTCTGAGACTCTTGCCACTTCAGTTGTCTACAAAATGCCCGTGGCTTCTGTTTGATGTCACAGGTACCACTCAGCCTTCAGTCTGCCACCTACGGTTACGACTCAAGGAAATGCTCAACTTCGAGTTAACGAAGCCAAGATCACATTCCCTTGCCCGTGTTGCAAGACCTGATGGATACTATCCTGACGGGGAGGGGCTGGACTAAAAAAAAAAATGGCTAGAGGCATTACCTCCAAGCAAGGATGGGTCCATTAAATGGCAGAATTCTCCAGAATAAAAAAAAAATGGGCAGACCACAGTAACACAAATGGGGCCTCTCCACGTAGGCAGGGGAGGAAACCCTCAGCCCCCCATTAGGACTTGATATAACCTTTCAGAACCTGGGATCTGGTCATGCAACTTCCGTTTTCCCTAGAGTAACTCATATCTAAGCCCCAACAAGGCAAGCCCTTGTGTGTTATTTCTTTGTTTTTCTTTATCTCTTGATTAAAAAAAAAAAACCTTGATTATTTTACAAATGTTAAAAAAAACAAGACTTCCATCTCACCATGGGTGTGGCCTGTTCCCTGGAATGCAAGACCCTCCTGTAGCTAGCAGGTTTACTTTTCTCCCCTTAAGAGCAGGCTGGGGCGGGGGAGAGGGAGGGGATGTGTCACTCCACCTAATACACAGGCACATACACACACACACACACACACACACCACACACACACACACACACACGTATGCACGCACATGCACATACATGAATGCAAACAAGTGTGCGCTGGCATACAGATACACAGACACATGTGCCCGTATTCGCACACCCAGATGCTGATGGGCAAACATAGACAACACACATCCACACATATGCACACACCTGCCAGTCTCCGTGTACACAGGCAGGACCCCTATTGGGGCTCTCTGTGCAAAGTACAGATCCTCCCTATGACAGGTCCTCCCTATGACAGATCCTCCCTATGACAGGTCCTCCCTATGACAGATCCTCCCTATGACAGGTCCTCCCTATGACAGGTCCTCCCTATGACAGGTCCTCCCTATGACAGGTCCTCCCTATGACAGGTCCTCCCTATGACAGGTCCTCCCTATGACAGATCCTCCCTATAACAGGTCCTCCCTATGACAGATCCTCCCTATAACAGGTCCTCCCTATGACAGATCCTCCCTATAACAGGTCCTCCCTATGACAGATCCTCCCTATGACAGGTCCTCCCTATGACAGATCCTCCCTATGACAGGTCCTCCCTATGACAGGTCCTCCCTATGACAGGTCCTCCCTATGACAGGTCCTCCCTATGACAGGTCCTCCCTATGACAGGTCCTCCCTATGACAGATCCTCCCTATGACAGGTCCTCCCTATGACAGATCCTCCCTATAACAGGTCCTCCCTATGCTTCTGGCTGCTTCTCTTCTGCCTGGCAGACATCCCTGCCTGGAACTGCCAAGCGTCACTACAGGCTGCTCTCCTCACCTCTCCCTTCCCCGGTTTCTCAACAAAGGAGCTGCAGCCCCGCGGGAGGTCCTCCTTGAAGCTCTCAGAGGCCATTTACCTAATGGCCTTCCCAGACTTGACTATTTTTAAAACCCATCCAAAGCCAAATTGAGCTGCCATTGTTCATTTTTCTCCCAAGGAGGTAAATGTGTCTTAAGCATGACATCTGATTAAGTAGCTAAGTTTGGGGTTTTAAATGGAAGGGAAATGCTGATTAAAATCATTTTTAAGTTTCTTCAAAGTGTTCACACAGGTGTCTTCCCCCCAACCTCCCCTGCCTTGTTGGCTCCCCCAAAAATCACCTTGCCTTCTCTGGGGCCTTGGAATCACTCCTGCCATCCCAGCTGTCTCCAAGTGAGGCTGCTTGATGCTGATCCTGTCAGAGGAGGGAGCCAGGATGACAGACACTCCCACCAGCAAAATGGCTCACAGGCCAAGCAGCTTGCAGCTCAGGGCCAGCAGAGGAAAGGCCAAGGTCCTCCTGCCCTGTCTGACACAATGGTCTGTGTGCAGAGATGGAGAGAGGTGCTCACTTGACCTGAGCCCAGCAGAAGATGGAGCGCACCCCCACCCCTACAATGCCCTGAGTCCTTCTGCAGGAGGAAAGAGAGCTACCCAGTCTGTCCTGACTGGAATATGCCCCTTGTTGGACAGCTTCCCGGCGTCTCTGGGCGACAGCTTTGCCTTTCCTATTCGGGCGGGAAGGAATGATAGAGAAGAGGGTCCATCTGCCTTGCAAAGTGGCACAACCGGAGAGAATTTCCCTGGCACTACCAGGTTGGGAGGGGTAGGAGCCTGAAGCTGGAGAGAAGAAAGTGAGCAGTTCCTAGGTGGGCAGACGCAGGCTGGGGAACCCCATCTGGGGAGCTGGGGAAGTCCCTTGGGGGAAGGTACTCCAGCACCCAGCTAATCCTTGCTTTTCCCAACTGTCATGAGTCCCTAAATCTAAGGTTTCTGTCCCTGGATGCAGTTCTGTCTGGTCTACCAAACTTCCGGGTGTCTCCCGGCATCGTTATAAAGCAGGACGGAATGGAAGCAGGCGTCTCTTGCTGCAGACCAGCCAGGAGGGAGACAGCCATAGTGGGGAGAAGCACCAAAAAAATAATTAGGATGCAGAGACCATCTGACATAGGAACTAGAGGAACAGTCTCTCCTTCCCCGAGTTCCCAGAATGCTGTGAGTCTTATACAGGGTTCTGGAAGGGATGTGGGCCTTCGCCAGGTTCTCAGGATGGACATTAACCAAGCCACTAAGATGGCAAGGGACAGGCAACCTAGCATCTGAGGAACGAGACACTTGACTACACTTAAAGAGAGCATAAGGACTTTGGCAGGAGAGATTCTGTGTGGCCCAGTGTCTCCTCCACAGCATGCACACTAACTGGGGAGGGGAGGGTGTCCTCAAGGGATGTGTGGAGCCTGAGATGTGGAGACAAGACCTTTGGGTAAGACTCTCTGGGAACAAACACGGCCCAGTCAGAGGAGCTCCTCAAATGCCAAGGCACGGGGTGACAATCAGATGTGGCTGCAGCCCATAAGGCTCTAAGACTTGTGGCTCCCAGCAGAAGCAGCAGAGTGTGGCCCCAGCTTTGAGTATGCCCTACACACCACACCAGGCAGCTCAGACTGAATTTCCTATCAAAAAAAAAAAAACAGCATTCAGCACCAGCATCAGCCAGGTGTAAATTTCTGCTTGTGGTGGTGGGTGTCAATGTCCCAACACAGCCCTGCTCCAATGCCGTGTTCATCTAAGACCTGACCTGGGAGCTGCTCTTCATGGAGCGTCTCAGGCCACAAAGAAAACGGTGAGGGACATCAACAGAGCCCAACGACGGTCCTACAGGGTCTCCTGGGGATGTATAAGATCACTTCCGTTCACATTTCATCGGCTGAGGCAAATCGCATGGCCAAGCTGGTGCCACCAGGGTGCTGATATGCCAGCAGGGTACTAGAGCATGGACCTCACAACAGGTAAGCCAGAAAGTCTTCAGACGGACATCCAACACTTCCACACTCTCCACTGCCAACACTTCCAGAAGAGAATTTGCAATCTTCTCAGCCTCTGAATCCAGCCCCTGAACTCAACAGATTGTGAGAAGGAAGACAGATGTTTCTTGTAGGTGTGCCCAGCCTCTCCCTCTCCAGCTGTGGCCACAGAGCCTTGCATCTCAACACCAGGACCGTTTGGAGCCACCTTAGCACCTGCCCCAGGTGCAAGTCCCTGGCTGCATCACTGGCATACAGAGCCAGCTGCTAATCTGTGGGTTGAGTGGCTCGTATCTGACCCCCCAGGTGACCAGAAGATGCGTCTTTGGAGAGAGCATTGTGATCACTCAATAGAAATCAACATCTTCACCACCACCGTCATCACCTTCAAGTCCATCATTGCCATCACCATCGTCACGATGGTTTCCTCCATCACCACCGCTACCACCATAACCTTGAATGCCGCCATCATCATCACCCTCCTCGCTGGCGTCAGTATTATTGTTACATCATCACAACCGTTGCCATCATCACTATCACGACACTCATCAGGCCCAATACCATCTCCACGATCACCATCGCCATCGCCGTCTCCAGCGTTTCCATCAACATTAGAACCACCGTCTTCATTACTGTCACCACGGACGCTGCCATCACCTCTGCCACAATCATCTCTGTACCCGTCATCACCGGCCCCGTCGCCACCACCATTATCATCACCATCGATTTTTGCTGTTATTTGTTTGGTGCTCAGGCCATGCCAAGAGCTGTTCTCAGCACATCCAAGAGCAGCCAACCCTGCTGCGGCCCCCTTTCTTGACCAGTAATTGTCAGAGTCTGCCTTCCCACGCGGTGCCTCAAGTGGCATCTGGGCCGTTCTCTGCCAATCTAGGAAGCAATTCGGCAGAAAAGCTGCTTCCTTCAGCACCGCCTTTTCAGAGTCTCTGCTCTCTGATGTGGAGCAGTTTCCGGAGCGTGCTTGAAGGGGGGGGCAATCTGTCACTTTACAGGCAGCCCTGTGAAGGACAAACACCCAGGAAGTTTACCCCAGTGAGTCTAAAGTTCACCTAAGTTTATCAGCTCAATTCGTCAGAGAGGAGAGGCCTTATACACTTACAGTCTCAACCTCACCACAGTTCAAGGGATGGCCAGCCTAATTATCCAAACACGAATCATCAGGCCCACCCCGGAGGCCAAGGCCACAGAGTCAGATGGCCACTCACTTGTTCCCAAACTGACTGCTCCAGGCATCTGGCCAAGGATCTGTCACAGGCAGTGTTGAAAAGCTTAGGGCTGAGATTGAAGGTTGTACCCCAACGTTGAGCATGGGTGGATGATCACATGGGTCTCTTTCTGGTGTCAGTGTGCACGGAACAGCACCTGGGATCCAGGTCTGAGGTCTGAGACTGCCCTGTGGAGGACGGTGCACGGGGCAGGCTGGCCCTGCCCTACTCCACTCCCCACTCTGACTGTGCCATAAGGCAAAACTGCTTCACTCTCTTCCCGCTATGGCCGGGAGCGCTGTGTTGTTTTCTTACATGTGGTACCGCCATCCCTGCAAAAACACAGGCCCATGCTTCAGTCATGGTGCTGGGCTCCTATGGAAGCCATATGTTTGTGCCTTGGTGGCGCATGGTTGTGCATCTTGAGTAAGTAAAGGCCGAGCTGAGCTGCCGGCTGACCATTCTCCTCTTCTTCCTCAGTAGCAAAACTATCTATGGTGGTGGCGGACAGGTGGAGACAGATGAGTGTGCCCAGCTGAACGTTTCTGTCTTCAAGCCTTCCCTATGCCTCATCTGCCTTGTATGAAATTCTGGCTGGTGCAATGTAAGTAGAAGTCACATGACATGATTTCTGGTAGAGCCCATGGGTCCTGCTTGGAATGCAAGTGGAATCCAGAAGACATCCCAACCCCTTTGTCACCATGAGTCATTATCGAGTCTGTGTATGCCCAGGCCGCCGGAGCTGAAAGAGACATCATCTGGGAGCCAAGGCATCACGGACTTATGCATGGGTCCTGACAGGACAGGGGGAAACAAATGTTTCCTGAGTTCAGCCTCAGTTGATTCTGTCTTCTGCGGCATTTGGTCTAATGCAACGCAAACATGCTAGGGGGTGACCGGGTGCTTCCCTGCAAGGGCTAAGGAGCAGACTCAGACCTTCATGCCTCAAGGTTCCAAACCCTCCTGGTAGGAAACTCACATACCCTCTACACTCATTTGCTCATTTTAACTGGTGAGTGTGTGTGTGTGTGTGTGTGTGTGTGTGTGTGTGTGCCTGTGCACTATTTGTATGCCAGGTAAGAAAGGAAGTCAAGCCGGGCAGTGGTGGTGCACGCCTTTAATCCCAGCACTTGGGAGGCAGAGGCAGGCAGATCTCTGTGAGTTCGAGGCCAGGCTGGACCGACAGCCTCCAAAACAATACAGAGAAACCCTGTCTCAAAAAAAAAAAAGAAAGAAAGAAAAGAAAAGAAAGGAAGTCAAAAGAGGGCATTTGGTTCCCTAGGACTAGAGTTACTACACAGATGCTTATGAGCTGCTGTGGGTGCTGGTAATCAGATCCTCTGGAAAAACAGCCAGTGCTCTTAGCAACTGGCCATCTCTGAAATAAAAAAACACAGGGAACAATGTGGTATTGGCGGCATAAAGGGGATGACCTCAAGCTGAGCTGTGTCACACACATGCATGCACACACACACACACACACACACACACACACGCATGCACGCACATATGCACTACTGGGAATTGAGCCCTGGGGCTCACACATGCTTCTTAAGCACAAGCACTCTACCACTGTCTTATTATATTTTGAGATAATCTCGGTAAGTTGTCCAGCCTGGCTTTGAACTTGTGATCCTCCTGTCTGAGCCTCCTGAGTGGGCTGCAACAACAGGTGTGTGCTACCTGGCCAGGCCCACGAAGAATTTTCCCATAGTATCCACTTCCTGCATGATCTACTTCCTGTGTGATCTAGGCCCTTTCCCCAGACCTTCCTGTCACATTTCCGGCTTTGATGCAGACATCATAACAGGGGTAGCGAGATCCTCAAATTCCTTGCTCCTTTGCTCCCACATTTCTGGGAATTTCACCAAGCAGAGAGATTAAATGCTAGGTCTCTGGGGACTGTGACATAGCACCAGGCAGATGCCTGAAGTTGGAGGGGCTGCTTTGTTACAGGGCTGTCAGGAGTAACGGAGAAGGCCACGGGGAGCTGTGAGCACGGAGCAGGTGTTTGCAGAGCTGAATCAGGCCACAGTTTCCCGGATGAACTTGCAGAGTCTCCTTATTCCAAGCTATATAAAGCAACAGCAACAATCAGGACACGCTCGAAGGAGGAGGAGAAACATCAGGAGGGCATCCCACCCCCGCCCCCACCATGCCCCTCTGCCAGGCAGCAGAGGCGGGAGGAGGGTCCAGCAGGGATGCTGGAGCTAAGCAGGAGGTCAGCTCACGAGGAAAATCACCCTGCGCTGTCCTCTTAGGATAAAACAAACAACTTCAAGGCTTATCGAGAAAATCCCCAGATGTGATCTCCAGCCAGCTGCATGGCCCTGCTGAGTGCCATCCTCAACATTCTTGGGACAGAAGGACACGACAGGGCATTGAAGTGATGCTGTTCATAGGTGCCAAGAAGTGATCCACTCTAGGAGCCCTTCAGGACCCACAGGCGCCCTAGCTCCTCGCAGGAAATGGCGTGACCCGGGCACGTTCCTGGAGCATGCCTTCTTCCTCTGGTGACTCGAGACTCCTACTACAGTTCAGACTGGTGCCATGCTACATCTTCTTAGGACTAATGGCAAATATGTCCACACGTGGATATTCACATTGTTTTCAAGTATTTTCAGCCTGTAGATGTCCCGAATGCAAGCGTGTGGAATCCTCAGACTCGGAGGGCCAAGCAGAGGTGCCCCGTGGGCACCTCTCCCTCATCATATGGGACACTCTTGGATAACTGCCATCATTAGCACAGGCCAGTGGCAGAGAAGCAGATGCGTGGATGCCAACTGACCTGCTAATGTGCGCCTCTTGTCACAAGGGTCTCTGGTGGCTGTCCGCATGTGCAGGTGGAATATAGCAATACTGATCAGAATCCACCATCCAACTGTCCCCCTGAAGACTTCCCCAAGTTCATTTCCAACTTTCTTCTATGCCTTCCAGCCCACATCACGCGCTAGGTTCCCCTGTGTTCTCGGAGGGCTGGAAACCCACACAGCACAACCCCTAGCCCTCCCCAGCCACTGGCACAAAATGCATCTCTAGATCACTGGGGAGTTCTGGGATCTCAATGACAGCACGGGACGGCACAGGTCCCTATGCCACGTCTCTGGGAGCAGCGACTCCTCCAACAAGAATTTGTGGAAGACCAGGATTGTATAAGGGTCTACCCTGGGCTTCCCAGGATCAGGAGAGCCTGCATCTTCAAGAAAATTGGTAGAAGAGGCTAGGGAATTGGCTCAGGGTCTTTTGCTAACCTGTTCCTAAGGAAAAGACTATGTGTTTAGGTTCCGCAGTGCTCATGGGCATGTGGCCAGGCCCAAGTGAGACCTATCCCTAGCCAAACCTGCAGTTCTTACCAGGCCTGAAGAAGTCCCTGTGCAGGAAGCAAAGACATGGTACAGTCACTGTCTGTCCCCCACGTCCCAGTCCTGGCTTGGTGTTGTCTGCTTCTGGAGAGATGGGGGGCTCCATTATGAGTGTACAGCCAGAGCACACTAAAATCAGCCCTCCCTAACTCTGGAGTGAAGCTGTTGCTTGGAGAGTGGTCCTGATTACTGGGCCATTATTCCCACAGGGCTGGTCACCCAGCACTGGCCCTTTCATCTGGATTTCAAAGCAGGCCAGCCATGCTGTAATGGGACAGTAACTCACTTGAGGCCCAAGAAGGAGCCTTTGAAAGTGAGCTCTCTCGAATTCCCTTCTGCCAGCATGGCTAACAGGGGAAGACTGGCTTCAAGATAGACTCAGTCAAGGGAGAGAGATGCAGCAGTCAAAGCCAGGTCCCCCTGCCCCTGACACTGCAGAGGACAAGGCCTTGGGTGGCTGTGGCTGGCTCTCCTCTCATGTCTACCTCAAGGACAGTGGAGTCTATCGCAGACCCCAGGAAGCTGGGGCTCAGTTGTAACCAAGCTATAATATGGCAGAGGCCCAAGTCCTGCCACATCCCTGGAAATGCTGGCTGTGTGTCCCTAGAAAAGTCACTTAAACCCTACTGGGCTTTAGTTGCCCCTTCCGTACAATGGAGTCAACAACAGTTTGTAGCCCTCTGTGTCCCTATTATATGAATTATTGGAGGTCCAGCCTAGACCTGGTGCATACCAGCGCTCTGCAAATTATGTCGACGGGGACAAGGGCATGCTGAGGTCACGCCCTGGCTGAAAGCTGGATACAGAATGATGCAGAGCCGGAGGCTCATGGGGCCAGGCTCTCCCGTCTCCTCTTGGCTGCCTCTGGTCCTGCACTCTGGCTGGGCTTAGCTGCCATTTGGCCCCCATCTTCGCTTGGCCCAAGCTCCCATGATCCAGGGACTTCAGAAAGTCCACTTCCTTATTCTCATGTCCCTTGACCACCAACTTGATTGGGTCGCTGGGACTCAGGCCAGTGTCGTCACACACATGCCCACCCCTCCCCGCTTGTGTTCTCTGTGTCCTTGCCACTACCTCAGTCCGTGGCAGAAGTCTCCTCTGTCACATCCTCCTTCCCTCCGCCTGGATCTTCCGCAGAATGCTCGTCCTTCTCCAGGGAGGAACCTTGATCTGGCCACTCTGCTGATGCCCAGTCTCCCCCTGAGAAACCCTTCTCTGCAGAGCTCTAGGTCCAAGAAGTGGTCATCTGTGGACACAACAATGACTGTGCCCCTTGGAGACACTCCCTTTCGTGGGGGCTTTGAGGAAAAGAGGAGATGGTTGGTTGGTGGAGCCACAACCTGACTCCTGCAGGGGCTGGGAAAACATCCACCACCAAAGGCAGAGAGGAACAGACACAGCTCAGGCCTCTGTCCTGCAAGAGTCACCAGGTGACCTCGCTGATCTGATGTGAGTGCGTACCTCCCTTTGGTGGTGTTGAGTATGGTAAGAGCAAGTTCATTCTGGAAATATTTTGCACATGAACTCCAAGAGGCCTCGGGAAATTTGGGAATAGCCAGACTGGGAGGAGGTTGGGGCAGGCCGGCATGCTGTTGCAGGCCACCAAGATCAAATGGTAAAGGGGTCTTGTCCTTCATGCTACAAGGCTCCTAGTTGGCATGGCAATTGTTGTATCTTAATAAAAACCATTGAACATCGGCTTGGGGAGGGGGCTCTGCCTAGTTGTACAGAAACAGACAGAATAACAGTGTGTGTTCTAGAAGATTCACAGACCAGGATTGGCAGACCGTCTAGAAACTACCTAACTCTGCAGCCCATCTACAGGTCAGAGAGTCCTAGGTGGAGACACCAAGGCACAGAGAAGCAGGTCACAGAGCATCTTAAGTCTGACACCACTGAGTGGCCAGAACCCAGCCCCACAAATCTGCGTCTGGATCATCCCAGCAAACAAACCCAAAGCACTCATTAAACAGGACAATGGCCGTCTCCACGCCAAGCATTGGGCCATCAGACCAAGAACTTGGTAAATCTCATCTGGTGCTGCCAAGCCCTTTGGCTGCTTGGGGTCTGCAAACAGGAGATGATCTGCCTCCTGGGACTTAGCTTTCTCCTGTCTTGGATGCTGAGGTCCACATCCGTGGCCATGCAGTAAGTCTGACTGGGCAAGACAAGGCCCTTATAGGCAGATAGGGTCCCCACACGGCTCCGCCTCTCTTGAGGTCAGATTTTCAGTGGCAGATCTCGGGTCCCTGAATAGCACAAAGAGGGGACTGTGCCGCCTGGGGCTCTGCAGACCCATGAAAACAGATTAAAAAGTGAAGTGCAGTAGCTCAGGAGCTCTGACTCATGCCCAGCAGAGTAAAGCCGCCTTCCAGGAAAGGGGAGAATGGGGGACACAGAGATGGAGATCTGGGGGAAGGACTGGTCTTGGGACTCAGCCTTGGTGGAGAAGTACAAAAGCTACTTGTCTTGGGCAAGACCTTGTCTACTAATGTCCTTGCTCAGGGTCACACGAGGGTGATAAGCAGGAAGTAGCACTCCCACCCCTACTGAGATGGGGCTAAGAGCGTTGTGTGGAAGCCCATTGAATTGAGGAGTAGGGGAACACATGTCTGCCCGGCCTCCCTACTGCGAGGCAGCCATGAGATAGGCTGGGGCACCCCAAATCCCAGCCAGTGGCTCCCACTGGGCCCGTGGGTCTTTGTATTGCTCTCTGTGGGTCACACATTTCTGGCTAGAATGGTGTTGGGATGGGAGGATGGCTGGAGTGGAGCGTGGCTTAGTAGGACAGACCCTGGAGTGGAGTGTGGCTTAGTAGGGACAGACCCTGGAAAAGCAGCTCAGCGGTGGCAGGCTGATGTCCTAGGATCCTCTGTAGCAGGACATCCCTGAGACAGAATCACCATGACCGAACTCCAGTCTGCTCTAGAACCCTGTTCCCAGCCAGAGTCATGTATGTGCTTACTTCCTCGTCAGCGTGGAGGAGAGGGTCAATCTACCTTTGGCCCACGCACACTCTACCCCGTGGCTGGGAAATGGGGTGGGGGTGAGGTGGGGCTGGCACGGAACAATGGGAGTTGAAAGGAGACCCCCAGAAGGATGCAGTAGGAGCCAGGAGGATGGGCAGACGGCACAAGGCGCCAGGTCACAACCAAAGTGTCCATCGATACTCGTCGTCCTCCCGTCTCCTGACACCAGTCAGCTCTCGAAGATCCACCTGTGTGGTTCAACCGAGCTTATCCATCTGGGCTGAAAGCCATAGGTGTCATGAATTAGAGGTTTGGTCCCAGCCCGTGATGCGAAGGTGTTTGTCTTAATATAAAAAAAAAATTGTCTTAGATCATTAGGGGGAATGAGAGGAAGTGTGGGCCCCAGACCATCGGGTGAATAGCTGTGTTCTGCCGCGCACTCTCACTGTGATGGAGCGGGATAATGATTTAAACCTGCAAATCTGTGAGCCAACATGCTCTTCCTCCTTCTCTCCCTCCCTCTCTCTGTCTCTGTCTCTGTCTCTGTCTCTGTCTCTCTCTCTCTCTCTCACTCTCCCATGCCTTACCCAGGTGCCACAGCTGCCCAATACTACATGCAATGGAGTAACCCCGGGCCTTACCCAAGGAGAAGTCGGGCCCCACCCCAGCACCTGTGGACCTGCGGGGAGAGCTTTGTCATCCCAAGGGAAGGTAGGGGACACCCTATATGGACTTATGGTGGCCTGGCTGTGCCAGAGATACTGGGACTCTACAGGCCACCAACAGGCTAAGATCAGTCTTTGGTGTTGGGTTCATCTATCCATCCACCCATCCACCCGACCCACACACCCACCAATCTATCTAATCACTAGTCAGCTCATTCATCCCTCCATACCATATCTATCTCTCCACCCTCCCCATCCATGCCCTCACCATCCAACCCATACGGCCATCTGTCCATCCATTCACCCACCCACTATCCACCCATATTTCCAACCGTCTGTCCATTGTCTACCCACTTACCGGTCCATTCATCCAACCACCTTATATCCGTCCATCCACCCTCCCACCCATCGCCCATCCGTTCTTCCAGCCGCCAGCCACCAACCACCCAGCCAAATGTCACATACCTGGGATGGATCCTGAATTTAGCCGACCACCGAGGCCTGGGGTGTTTGTCTGGATAGGGATGGTCTGTACCAAGCTGACCCTCAGAGAGTGAATGAGGAAGCCGAGGGTAGGCCCACCAATCTCTGCAGAGGTCCCCCACCCATCCCATCCTTCCTCATCATCCTCTCCTATAATCGCCTATAGCTTTTGGATCCCAGCACCTACTACAAATCTAGTGAAAGACCAAAGGTGAGGGAATTTGGGGTTCTGGGCTTGCATTTGAGTTTAAAACTAAAAGCAGTTGTGTGAAGCCCAGCATCCCATACACAACCTTTGCAGTTCAGCCTCTGGATCTGGGAAGGTGTCATCCTGCCTGGAGGAAGGAGACCCCTTAACAACAGGCCTGTCAGTAACCCCAGGCCCAGCCCCCATCTTCAGAGCTATGCTGTGTTTAAGGTACTCTGCCGTGGACCATTGTGGTTCTGAGTTGTTTTTTTTTTCCAAAGGGGACAAACAAAGGGGACGAAGGAAATCAGTTGTGGTAGCTGGCTGTGATTACAGCAGTCTGTGCAGCCCAGAGAGACTGAAAATGCAAATGCTTCCTATGTGGGGAGCCAGGCAGGAGGCTCCTGTGTGGAAATCAAAGGGGCACAGGAGGAACTTTCCTGTGGAGACAGAGGATGAGGCCTCAGCTCCCGCTCCAGCTGGGTGGCAGATGGTGCGTATCGGGGCCCACTTCCCATCGCTCCACTTGCTGTCTTCTCTTCCCCTTCCTTCTTCCTCCTGCCCTTCCTCCTCCCGCCTGGAGTAAAAACACAATGGGGGTCTTCATCAGCTCGAAACACAACCCAGAAGTCTCACGTGGCCTGGAGGAACCACCCTAGGGAGACGGCTCTGACTTTGTCAGCTTCACTTGGGCTACGGAGGAACGCGGAGGTTCCAAGGCTGCCGACGTCCTTCAGCTCCGCTCATGACCGAATAGCACAGCTTTGAGCCTTTGGCTGGGCCAGTCTCAAGGGTCTTGAAAAGGACATCGCAAAGTCACCAGGTCCCAAGCACGGATACAACTGCCACCCTGTGTCACCCTCTGACACTTTCAGAAGACACAAGTGTCAAATGTCAACTAAGGTCTGTGTCATTCGAAACCGTGCCTCGGTTGGGACATTCCAACACTTAAGTCATTCATAGCTTGCAAAGCTTGCAAGTGTTTCTGGGTATGAAGTCATCAGCAACCAGGTTTCCTGATGAAGCTGAGGTCCAGTCTCCACAAAGCTCCGTCCACCATGGTGGACTCCCCGCTCAGAGATTGAGAGCCTACGAGTGTGGGAGCTGTTCAAGAGCTGCCGAGGGAGTTGCGCTGGGAGGCCTCTTACTGCCCCGAGCCTGCTTGTAAACAAATTGTCTCAATTTGAGTGGCATCAAATAACTCAATGAACCCAATGAATAGAACAGCAACAAGAAAGAACAGCTTTTAAAGCTCACAGACAAACACAATTATTAATGACAAAGCTTGCCAACCGGAAGACATCGGTCTGTCTTGATCCAAGCCAAGAAGGTACGAGACGCGTTCAACAGTGAGAGTCCTCAAACATGTTAAGACTTAATTGTGGAATTATATAACCACACTTCACAGGAGGCACCCTGCAATGAAGCCCCACTTTTAATTATTCCGGGACCAGAAGGGAACAGCATTAAAAGATCTGCAAGTCTGCTGTGTCTAAACTCTGAGAAACATCAAGAGAACACGGCGAAGCAACTCCACACAGACAGCTTACTCAGGGAGCTACCTCCCGTGAAGAGTTTGAGACTATGCATTCTTGTAAAGGTCTATGAGTGAAAGTAAGCTGCCAGCCTCAGCCACGGAAGGAATAGCTATGTGCTTTAGTATGAGAAAAAAATTCAGCAGTGAGCAGAATTTACTTTGAGCTTACCAGGTACCTGAGCACCCGTGGAGAGAAAATTGTCTCAATTAAAAATGTCACGGTCTAACAGAGAGGAGTCCCTGGAAGGTGTTGGCCATTTCAAATTTACTAACCTAAAAAGGGGAGAAACGCAACTTTTCAAAAGAACACAGCGATTTTATGAAGAAATAAATAATGTTAAGAGTCTGTTGGGGAAAATCCCTCCAGAAAAATTCCAATAGATTCTTTGATGTGTTAAAACTGAAAACCAGTCAAAATAAACAAATGATAAACAAATAAATAGGGGCTGGAGAGATGGCTCAGTGGTTAAAAGCACCTAACTACTCTTGCAGTTGACCCAAGTTCAGTTCCCAGCACCCAAGTGGTAGCGCATAAACATGTACAACTCTAGTTCCTGAGGATCCAGTGCCCTCTTGAGGCCTCTTTGGGCATTACACACAGGTGGTGTACATACATACACATATATATACATGCAAATACACACTCATACACACAAAGTACAAATTAAATCTTTTTAAATCTTCAAATTGTTATATAGTTACATACTTCTGTCCGTTAAATATTTGATCCGTAAATAGATTCTAGTGGTCAGCATTTTCTTTATTTTAATATATGGAAAACAGTTACATATTTATTTTATTTTATATGCTCCTTTAAGATTCACCCCTCAATTTGCATGACAGTTTGGAGAGTTGTTATTTTCACATGTTATTAACTCTGCACACACAGTGCTTCAGACATTATCCCTGTCTGGATGGCCCTGGCTTCTCAAGATGGGTGGAAGCCTGCCCTCGTGTACCTGTGGCTTGTCCGGGAGCATAGACAAAAGCTAATCCATTAAGTTCTGAGCCACGGGACTCCAGGGTGGGGCAGGATAGGATCAGGACCTCAAGGTGGTCCCAGAAGGCACAGAGTGCTGAGTGCTCTGCACTTGGCCTCTTGGGGGCCCTGAATCCAGGCATGTGATGAGGCCGCACACCTGCACTCCACCATGCAAATGCCACTGGGGATTATTTTTACCTTCAAGCTCTGGTTGAACGTGTCTGATCCTGCATTTATAACGGCCCCGAGGAACTCGGCTCACAGCACCGGCCCTGAGTGACAGGGAAAGTGGTTAGAAATTGTTCCTTGTAAAAAAATAATGAACCCCAGTGAAACGAGCCAATCAAAGCAGCTGCTAATGGCTTCCTGTGGAGACAGGTGTGCAGCGTGACTCCAGCAGAGTGGGGCACCCAGCCCGCTCCTGGAGTGTTTCCGAGATGAGATTCGGTGACCTGGACGGACCTTAGGGATTGCTCTACTTGAGATTGGCCTTCAGCCCCTCTTCCACTGCCCCGTCCCCTGGGGGTGGGGAGGGTATGACAGGCCAGGAGCAGGCACCATCACCTCTACAAGGAGCTATATGCTGTGTCTATAGTAGCCACCTAACCAGACACCTGAGGCCAACCTTCTAGGAGTCCTCTGTCTCCACACCCCAGCACCACCCCTCCCGGACCAGATAATATAGACTGGTCCCCCATCCTTCAAAACGTTTCCCACCCTGTCCGTCACTCTGCCAGGAGAGCACCCAGACCTCCTCATCTGGCCCTGGCGCTGACTCCTTCCAGGCTTGTCTCAAATAGTGTCCCCTTGGGCAGACAGCCTATCTGCAAACCTGTCCACAGAGCCGCGTGGGCCGAGACCAGAACTCACATGTGTTCCGTGATTAGGGTCTGCTGGAGTAGGGACACTTGGGGCCCCAGGGACACACCTTCACTTCTGGAGTACCTGAGCTGTGTGCGCTCATGGAGAGCAGGTCTCCGGGACTGGGTTTCTAGATGCTCCCTGCATGCAGGATATATGGTGCCTATCCAGGCTGTGCTACTCCAGGCTGTGCTATTCCAGGCTGTGCTACTCCAGGCTGTGCTACTCCAGGCTGTGCTACTCCAGGCTGTGCTACTCCAGGGTGTGCTACTCCAGGATGTGCTACTCCAGGCTGTGCTACTCCAGGATGTGCTACTCCAGGGTGTGCTACTCCAGGCTGTGCTACTCCAGGATGTGCTGCTACTTGTCCTCATTCTGACCACGTCCCCACACATATCAACCTGAAGCAGAAAAGGGGTTCCCTTGGCTCACAGATCCAGAGGGTTTCAGTCCGTGGTCACTGCTTCCTCCTGTTCATCGGCCCCAGTGGAGGACAAGCATCGTGAAGGGAGCTTGTGGCAGAGCAGGGTTTCTTGCGAGGCTGGAAGGAGGACAGGAAGTGGAGAGGGGGCGGGCTGGGGATAATACGTACCGTGTAAAGACTGACCTTCAAGGAAGACACCTGCAGCCACCGCCACGGCCTTCCAATAACGCAGCCAGCTGCGGTCCAAGTGTTCGACATAGGAGACTTGGGGGTGCGTTGTAGGTCTCACATCCTTCCACGGTTTCCAGGGACCCACTTTGCCCTCAGAGCATATCCGTTACCTAGTCCTGCGTATTGTTACTATCTTCTTCTCTGCTCAGGGCTCACTTAGTCTTGTCTGCCACTCCCCACCCGTGTGTGTGTGCATGTGCGCACACGTGTGTGTGTGTGTGTGTGTGTGTGTGTGTGTGTGTGTGTGCACGTGTGCCTTCTCCGTGGCTCCCAGTGTTTGGACAATAGAAACCAAAGGTCCTCTAAGGGGTTACCTTCCCTGTCTCAGTCCTTCCCTCCCTAGCGTCCCCCATTTCCAGGCCTGGGCCTTGTCTAGAGCCTGGTCATCTTTGGTTACAACTCTGAGACCAGCTCCTCCAGGGTTGCCTTTCTCCCCCCCACCCCGCCCGCTTTACCGTGCAAGGGCAACCAACTGCTGCTGTCCATCCTCCCCAGGGCACATGGAATTCAGGCCCCTGTCTTTGCACCTTCGGGTGGGCCGTGGCTGTCTCATGGGGCCACCTGTCCGTGGCCAGGGGCCAGGTGCTCATCAGCTACCCGTAATCAAGGGCGGGCTGGAGTTGGGTGACACGGGAAGCGTGACGATGAGGACGACCTGGGAAGTCAAAATCAGGAAGCCTGCATCTCTCGGCAGCCTCATTAGTGAGCGGCTGCACCTGGCCTCGTGCACTGGGCCTTGCCTGGGCTGTCTTGGTGGCTCCTGGGTCCACCGGTGCCTCTGCGTCACCCTGTGGAGCTGTGGTTGAAGACGCTTAAGGGTAGAAACATCAAGCAGAGGCTGAGGCAGCAGGGTCCGGGAGCCAAGCCCCCTTGGAGGGCTAGAGGACATGTGCTTTACATCCTTTCAGTGAGCCGTTAGGCCTGGGGTCTGTCCCCTACCTTGATTGCTGTCTCTACCAGGTTCTCTTTTGGGTGAGCGAAGCCAACATGGAGTCAGCGAGTTACCCCAATACAGAACTGGGCCGTATCCTGAATCCCAGCTAACTGTGGAGTCCAGGGGACTCTGGTTTAACAAACTCTGCTGAGTGAAGCCCACTTCTCTGCTGCCACGGCCGCCAAACGGTATGCATGAGCGTGGTAAGGGCCTTGTCAACTCGGGGCTCAAAGGGGGATGAGACAAGCTGGATCATCATCCATTTTATCAGTGACTTATTTTTAGCACAATTTAACAATTACATGTAAAGTGTGAACCATAAACCTGATTTACAGAGAAGCTGCTAATTTACTGCCTCCACTCGGGCACCTGACAGTGTGTGAGCTTCCATTTAGCAGTCCTGACGCTGCCCCCCCCCAATCCCAACCCTACTTACCCCAGGGCCCAGTTAACCTTGTCTATTGATCCGTCCAGGACACTTCATGATGCAATGAGGGAGTAATGGCAATCCAGCCCTGGGATCTGCCTGAGGTCCTGGGCTGGAGTGGGAATAAGAATAGGGAGTGGTCCACACCACAAGGTACTCTCCTAAAAGGAGCTGCAGCCTGGTCCCCTGGCCTGGTGTCATCTCAGAAGGACTGGATCAGCAGAGGCGCGAATCCCAAGGGGACTGTCTGAGAGCATCCTGGGTGTCTCTGTCAAGCACACCCAACTGGTAGCCAAGGAGAGCCCAGGGACACCAGCTGTGTGGAGGGAAGATTTGACCTTGGCTGTCAAGATGGCTGTCATGGTGTGCTGATCCTTCAAACAGATTGGCAGAAAGGAGCTGGGAGGGAGGGAAGGAGAAAAGCAGAGGGGAGAGGCTGAGAGGGACAGACTTGTCCTGCCAACGCTCAGGCCACAGGGTCTTCAGGCCTTGGTCCTAGACTGCCCACATCCCAAGTCTTACTCTTAGTTCTCATCAAGTCACTGTACAGCCCACCCTGGGGACCTCCCTGCCTCCTCCCTTCCCCTGTCCTCACTGAAAACAACTGTGGCCCATTCCAGGGGGTTGGGGCACACTCTCACTAGCTGCCCGTCCTTGCTAAGAGCTTCCCTCCATCACCATGTCCTTCCCTCTAATGACTGGTAAAATGACAGATCTCTTGCCTCTTGTTTTGTTCATCTCCAAAACAAAGGAACACATTTGAGAATGTGATGCCACCTCCAACTCTTGAAAGACACAGCTGGGTCAGCAGTGGCCTCTGGAGGCAAGGCTGGGGTGGGCCCGGAGGGCACTGTGTTATCTCATTGTGGCTCCTCGGAATTTCGAATTAATTATCATGCTTGAGCACATTTGATGTTGGGCTGTGATGGCCCTGCCTTGCCTGGGCAGCAGGGGAAGTCAGCTTTCTGCCCCTGCCATTCTTTATCTCTGATGGGGCCTTTCTCTGTCTCTGCAAGGAAGTCACATCCATCCCCATGTAGGAGAAGGAGACATGTTTCCTTAGGACTCCTACCCTATCTCCTCCTGGGGCTTCCAGGAACCATCAGCAATCCCCATAGCCCTGGTGACCTGATCCTGCCAACTGAAGGTTAAAAGTTTGGTAATATCCAAAACCAGTTCTACCCACTCCTTTGGGGCTCTTGGTTTGTGACATCCCCTTGTTCCGACATTCTCCTGGCGTGGTTTGGGCTGGAGGACCACCGCCATTAATGACAGTCATTAGAAAGGATGGAGGGACAGCCAGCCTCCAGTGGAACCCAGCTTGGAGGGTGTCAGGGTTGTCAACTCCCCATATTTGTGTCACCAAGACCCTGGGACACGAGGCTGTGGCAGATGGAATGGGTTGATGCAAGGCCTGGTCCAGGAGCATCCTCCACTGGGACTCGAGGAGAGGGGAGAGCGTGTGCAGGCAGAAGAGAAACGGGGCAGAGGCTGAGCCACAGCGACAAGGCTGGTACACCTAAGTCAGGAGTGTTTCCTCTCCGGGTCTTTCAAGGGGGGTGGGAGCAATGTCCTGCTTGTGACACCGCCTAGATCCCAGACCTGAGCCCTCTGGAGCCTAAGAACAGCAACGTCAATTCTACACCACGTGATCTGAGGTGCCTTGCCACCGTGTGGAGGAAGCTCACCTCATCCGTGTGTAAAGTAGGGGTTTCGGCACCGGATATAAAAAGTGAGGACATGGCCGCTCCCGGGT